ATATATTATATATTTAATATATATATATATATTTTATATATTAAATATAGAACACAATTGAAACATTTATGAAGGCATTGTCTACTTTAGAGTCAAAGGTGTAATCCTTAACATGTCTTTTGTTACAACCATAATCTTTAATCTCTGTGAACCATAATCTTTATCTCAGTCCTGTATTACATGTTAAGTACTTTTTATAAAGTATAACCTGTTTGTTATTAATCCCTTTCAAACTGCTGCCTCCAGCTGAGGAGTTTATTGTAATACATTATTCAACTGATAAACTGATTAACTAAAAAAAAAACCTATCTAGCTCATACACACACAAGTGATGCTTTTTTTATTATTAGTTTTATACCTTGTTTTTCTTGTCAAAGAGCTGAAAGACAATGAAGCGTTACTGTACATTTGAAAACACAGGATGTAAGCAAAATAATGTAACATACCATTCCTTCTCCAATTCCATCTACACAAGGCCAAATGTCTAATTTATTCCTTTCCTTTCCCTCCGTTCTTTCTTCAGTGGTCGTGTGAAACCATTGCTTGGCCGATTCAGTGAGCTTGAAGCCCTGCTGTCTAACATAAACATTAAGCCAGGCAGCATTGATGCTGTCCTGTTGGATGCTGGCTGCTCCTCCATGCAGATGGATCAGGCAGAGAGAGGCTTCTCCCTCAGCAAGGATGGGCCTTTGGATATGAGAATGGATGGAGAGAGGTAGGAGATTTACCACATCAAGTATTTGTGGAAGGCTGATGGATCTCAATTTGATTAATAATGCAGTATTAACAAAACTGTACATAAAAAACACTGAGCTTCATTTTCTTAATAAATAATGATGGGAGTAGTAATGTCAAAGTAACAAGTTTGTCCACCAGAGAGCACTGACAAGTTTAGTTTTCAACTGTAAAATGTAGGGCTGCCCCCAACTTAAAATTGTCCTTGTCGACTAGTAGTTGTTAGATATAGCCGATAGTCGATCGTGGTACATTTAGGATATTAATTTATTTCAATATGTATATTTTAACAGCCACCTGTTAAATGATAACAAATAAAGCAGTAATAATTCTGAATGTGTAAGAACAACCAGCAAGGACACTGAACACTTAAATATATTATTATAACACCTTACTAGTCTCATTGTTCACAACACGGAATAAATAACTTACAACTTCACTAAAACAAATACTGGTGGACTGGATGATGTATAACGCTAACAGTTACTTTCATCCCCAGAGTGTATGTGGAAGCATAGGGCTTGCAGCTCCGCAGCAGCCACGCAACTGACGCACTATTTGTGTAAACACCGCGCGTGTGCCAGACGTAGCCGTCTTGTGCCCTATACACCACGCGCTCCTCATCCGGCTTATTCGAACAAGCTGTTAAAAGAGAAAAAGTCTGTGTTGCAACAATCCCCTGATACTTTCATCCTGGTGAAAAGAAAAAAGGTGCAGCTCCCAAACAGAGTTTGATATTGTTATTTTGTTTTTCTGCAACTATCCAACTAACAAAAAGTGAGTCTCTCGACTTTTAGGGGGAAGTCTTAGTAAAATGTTCTCCTTAGAGTCAGTGCATATCTTGGTCACAATTCTATAATGCCATATTTAATGGATTCTCATCAAAAAACAAAGAATTTTGTTTTAGTTCTGTGTGTATATACACAAGTATTGAGCGATATGTGTGTGTGTGTGTATATGTGTGTGTTTGTGTGTTTATATATATATAAAATCAACATCCATATATATATACACATTTAGATATACTTGCAAAACAACCATCTAAGATAACCTGATTAGAAGGTATTGCACAAGCTGCATGTTTCTTTTCATTCTCTCACAATCATTCCTTTCATGAGACATAAAGGTTTTCAGCTGTATCTCAGAGTTGGAGAGTCAGGATTCGCCACTGTCAGCAAGGACGTGACGTCAAGCTGCTTAAATGGGCTTCTCTTTGTGCGTAGGTACCCCGACATGCCCTGCGCTGCTGACGTTGTGAATACCTTAGATCAACAGGCTCTTGCATCCATCCTCACTGCATATGGGGAAGAAAGACACGCCAGGAAAATAGCTTCAGCCATTGTGGAGGCACGCCGTGTCAACCCCATCACTCGGACGCAGCAGCTGGCCAGCGTGGTGGCAGGTAGCTTAACACTATCCTGATTAATTCCCGCAGCATTCTAGAGGCTGTAAGGGAAAATAAAACACTAGTAAAGTTATTAAGGCTGCCTCCCGGTAGGACATATTTGTCTCAGAAAATTGCGTGGACCGTGACCTCAGTCATCATCCTCTCTCTTGCTTCTGTTTCGGGTGCCTTTCTTCTACACCTTCCTTTGAGAGATAAAGTTGAGACAAAGACAGATCTGGAGGTGGCTGGAACAGAATGTGGCTAATGCCTTGAAAACAAACAGTATCTCACATACAGTTGCCTATCTCTCTCTTTTCACATTGCTTTTTTTGCTATATTTCCCCCCCTCATTTCCCCCGTTTCTCTGCTCACAAATATGCACACACACCTGACACAAATGCAAACACCCACATATGCTCATGCATGACACACTTGTGCATAAAGCCAGGATAACATTGTTTGTCTTCACTGATTGTTTTTCTTTTGTTGTTTTTTTTTTTTTTTAGCTGTATGCCTCCAGGTTTGAGCTGCTGAATGAGTGAGATGTCGTTTCAATAGTTATTGCACAGAGCAGTATGTGCGTCAGTGTCACCCTGGGAGAACAGGTGTGAGTAAGAGCAGCTGTTTAATCTTTTTTGAAGAGCAAAGCGAGTCACCACCAATGTTTATTTGGGAAAAAAACAGAGAGGTCTTGGTTTAAGAAAGTTCCAGGGGGGGCTCTATGACCAAATTTACTGTCACAGGAGAAATGACAAGAGCTTACGTGTGTCTGTGTGAGTGGTGGTGTTGGAGGGGCACTTTAGGGACCTGGTGGCATTGAGACATCATATACAACTCACACTTCAGGTGAGTACACATTGCACATTAGTATTTATCCAAAATGCAAAATTTTCTAGATGAAAATAACAATTACTTAAATAGTTTTATGAGACTAATTATTTGATACTACATTTAGTCTTATACAGAATGGTTGTGTGAAAGAGCAGAACGTTTGAGTTGTATACACAACTGGGGCCAAATGGAAATGATGCATACCCACAAAAACCATGCACATGTCATTTCCTACACACACAGTGGTAAAATCTGACTTTGCTGTGACAATGTGTGCAGCTCAAACACTTCTCAACAGGGATACTCTTCATCTTGGAGTGATCGGAAATTCATATAAATGTGGAACTGGTGATGGGATGGTGAAACATCATTTGCTCAGAAACACGTATGCATATTTTGTGTTTTTAGTCACTGATTTTGTTTGCGTTTTACGGCTGAATGGTGCCAATTGTGACATGAGACGAGGCTCATTTCAAGAGGTTCAGGCTGATTTATCCGTAATATATGTGAAAGATCTGTCTTTGAGGCGTTACATTTCATACATTTATTCCAAACCTTCCTTTATGTGTAGATTTTCAACAGCTCCTTTACTTGGGGATCAGTTTGGCACAGTTGTTCTTCAACTGTTTATCCAATATGTTGTAAACACCAGCCCAATGTCCCAAGAAGGTCCATTTACATTGGATGATTGTACATGGCACGATATGCATCCAGTGCCAGCGTTTATTGCCAACACAGGGAGGCATTGTGATGTTTATATTGAATTGTTAGAGGAAAGGGTTTGAAGTTTGGTGTGGTGGATGGGTGTGTATTGCAATTGCAAAGCAAATTCTTGTTACCGTTGTTTCCTTTTGCAAACTTTAATCTAGATTTGCATGTTTTAATGTTCTTTTCATGTTCTCCTTTTATGTAATGTGAGGCCCTTTTGTAAAGTCTGGTTCAGTATGAGCTCTATAGCTCATTAATACCCTTTCTGACGTTTAACAATAATGAGTGAGATATCAATGCGGGATGCTTTACAAATAGAAGTGATAAACTGATGATAATAACAGTTCTACATATAGCCACAGCAGTGCGTAGTGGTCTGGTTGTGCATGTGCCACATGTTTCATGACTGATTTAGAGTCCTCTGGGTGGTTTTCTTTTAAGTGCTAATAGAATCAAAAGGGCCACAAAAATCATGCAAGGGACCAAACAATGAAATAAAAACAAATTTACATGGCACAGGCAGCCATGGAAACACAATTATGTGATACAGCTGTGAAGGTAACAGAAACATACCACAGCTAGGATATGTTTGTTGTTTGGTTTTTTTTGGTGTTTTTTTTTTTTGGTTGCTTTAACAGCCTGAAATGAAAATTCAGCAGAGCAGCTTCGCCAAATCAACCCGACATGTAACTTAATGGAAAGTTTGTTTACTTTGCTGAACACTGACAGTAGGAATCAAGTGAGAAAGCATCTGCTCAAACTATATTACAGAACCAAATGCATTCATAATAATAAATGACATAAACATAATAAATGACGTGTGTGTTTTGAGTAGCCAGCAGGAAGGACAGGAACAACAAGCTGTTTAACGTTAATTTCCACCCAGAGCAACAACTGTATGTGTGGTGATCTACTTGAATTGGTACTTGGTGATCAACATTAGCATATATGCTATCACTGCCAATTTAAAATGCATTTTCACTATTACTTCACTATTAGACCTCAAGGTAAAATCAAACCCGCTCTCAGGACTGGATAACCCTTCATGTTCCCCGTGTTAACTCAGGACTCTCAAAGACTGCTTTTATATTACACAACGCACTTTAAATAAATATGAAGTCCCTGATAACATTGGGGAATTTTAGAAATATGCGTATTAATCTTTAAAAAAATTAATTTTGCATCTAACAGTTTTAATTAGGAGTCTTTTTTTCTAACTAATGTTTATGCTTGTGACTATCTTCTTTTTTTATTTGTGTTTATATTTGATTATATTTTATTTCTGTTTTTGTAGCCGGATGTAATCTCTGCGTCATTGAAAATGAGGGTTCAGCCCTCAGTGTATTCCCGAGTATGTAATTGTGCAACTTTTTGCCGTGACATAGCAGTTGTTTGATAAATTCCTGATTTGTGGTGATGCCGACTTCATTCTCAGCAGTCCGGCGTTTCTGTCTGGCTCAAACTGATCTGGTCTGCTGTGCTACAGTTGTGTCCATGTTCTTCTGTAGCATTTATTCAGCTTTTTGTTCGACCAGTAAAACCAAAGCATCAAACACTGTTGATGTCCAAACAACTTACTGTGAAATGTATTTTTTATTTTCGCCTTTGTTGATAACCGCTACAAACATCAAATATGGAAAGACATAACACAAAGGTAGAGTAGAGGGACGGGTTTGTGGTTCTAATTCAGTATGTTGTCCTATGTAATACATTTGTAATGTTGTGGTTCCTTGTTAACTACCTGATGTCCCCTTTATGTACACATCTTAATCTCTTCTTTCCTCCACGGATCTGTCCGTAGGACCTTTGAAAGATGAATTAGAGAGAGAGCATATGGCTTGGTGAGGCCAGACCAGGGCTGGTCCTTGCTGTGCAGGCATTGTATTGATTTCAGTGTGAGTCACACCTTGGGCTGTTTAGTGCAGGAGGAGAGAAATGCCACATCACTCACTTCTCTATTTATTGCAGTTTCTCTTTAGGTCTAAATAAGTGTCTAATTGTTCTTTAGTCTGTGTGGTAGTTATGAGCTGGTCAAGCTGGACCTTTAAAACTAAAGCAACTGAAGCTAATGTTTTCCCAGCTTAACCTAACCTCTCCACATTTCTTGACCATTTTGTGCCTAAATTCTGATTCATCCCTGCATGTTATTTAATAGGTACACAAGTCAGTGCAGATTTCTTGGAATCTGAAACGTTATCTTTCAGATTGCACAAGTATTTTGAGGGAAGATCGCTCAAATAACTGGAGGAACATTCTCCGCTTCTAAAAGTCAGGTGCAAATTGTTGAGTATTAAAGAAGAAGGTTTTTGTGGAGGTAGAGAAGCATAAATCACCCTTTATTTCACTGAAAGCAGGTCAAAACTGAGTGCACCATCCAGAGAGCAATAACTACAAAAAAAACACTTTTATTTTTTTTACAGTAATCAGGGCATAGGGAGTAATAATTTTTTGTGCTCAGTAAGACTTAACTTGAACTTGGCATTCAGTGAACTGAGAGATCATAAGAAGCATTTGGCTGCATTTACCTCGGTATTTTGGTGACACATCATCCATATCAACACCATCTCCACCCTCCATCTGCTCCGCACGGAGACTCTGATGGACCTGCCACTCAGTCCTGCTGCAGCTCTCTCTCTCTCTCCACTGATTTCAATGGCTTGTATATATTTTTCAATAAGCTTTTTATGTGCTACATCTTGTTTTCTTTTAAGTTAATTTAATGACCCCCCTCCCTTTTCCTACTATGTTTGATGATTCTCACTTAACCATTAGATGGCATACCTAGAAGTCAAGGCAACTGGATTTATTTTATTCATGGAAATTGTTTTTATTTAGGAGGCTTCCTTTATTTTCTTGACCAGTGGAGATCCCAGGCATTTCACCCTCTTCTACCCTCTGTGTTATTCACACATGGGTAGCACCTGTGGGTTGTTTAGGTTGTATATGAGTCATTAGTTCACATGAGAGTCTATAGAGTCACAAGAATCAAGGTGTAGGTTGGTGGTGTAGTAGCCCTCCATTTTGTTTATGTGTGGTTGTTTAAGCTTGAAACAGATGGTCTCCTTCACTCTCTCTTGTCCTTTAGAAGGATACTGTGCAGTATTGACCTGAAGAGTTGACCCTCTTGGCCCATGAGCTTGTTCAGTGGTTGGTGTCAGTGGTCTCTCTCTCCCTCTCTCTCTATCTATAAATATAATGTAGAATATATAAAATATAGAATAGTGACAGCTATGCATGGTTAATATTGAGGAAATATCAAAATCATGGGCAGAGTTGGCAGAAGTACTGAACATTTTCATGGTTCAACAACGTTGTTTGTTGGTCCGAAACTGGTCACTGTCCATATGTGCTGTAATTCCAATATGGACGTAATTCCTGGGGATACTCGGTCAAGGTGTTTGGTTTTTGGAGTAAAGTCCGACTGGATTTCACCTGGCAAAAAGATACGAAAACACCATGGGTAGGGTTGTCCTGACATGGCTACCTCACTAACAACAACAGACCACAAATTGGCAGTCTTCTTTGCGCCTGCTTGTATTATTTGGACTTGCAGTTGTAAGATTCTAAACAAACAATGTTTTCTGAATGAGAGGTCAGTCTCACCTCCTCTCTCCCTCTGGCTGGAAATTGGAGAGCTTTGCAATTTTGCAATGTTTAAATTCAATCAGACTGCAAAGCAAATGAGAGAAGTGAATTTGTGACTGGAAACAAATACGCCTCGCTCTGTTCCTCATAAAGATAAATGGGGAGCAAAATCTGGTGTTAGAAGAATACAGTGAATTTTTGCAATGTTAGTTAGTCAGATACTCCAGGCCTGAGGTGAGTTTGTTTTTTCAGACCAACAGTCCAAGCTACAAAGATCAGGTCACATAAGAGAAAGTTACCATTAAATGTTTGACACTTTTTCTTGAAAAATTGCTGAAATGATTAATCAATTCTCAAAATAGTTGCTGAATAACTTTCTGTCGATCGATTAATCAGTTAATCAACTTACTGTTACAGCGTTAAAATTGGAATCTTTCTTCTTCAGCATTTTTTCTGTTTGCATTGAGCATGAGAACAATATGTTGCATTGCAGTGCGTTGAATTACTCTGACCATTTCTTTGTCTCTAGGATCATTTCCTGCAGCTGTCCTCTACGCACGCAAAGACCGCCTCCAGCGACCTGCACATGTGGCCACTAAGACTTTCCAAGCTCTGCGTGTTTTTGTGAATGACGAGCTGAACGAACTACATGCAGGCCTACGTGCTGCCCAGGCAGCACTGAGACCTGGAGGACGTCTCTGCGTAATCACCTTTCATTCGTTGGAAGACAGACTGGTCAAACGTTTCCTCCAGGGAGATGACTTATCTAATCTAGATCAGTATCACTTCAGCCCAAGGAAACAAGGCACCAGGAAGGATGGAAAAAGAGAGGGTGGAAGTGTTTATTGGCTTCCTCTGAAGAGAAAAGTGATCGTCCCAGAAAAGGACGAAGTAAAAGAGAATCCTCGTGGACGCTCCGCTAAACTAAGGGCAGTGCTCAGACTGACAGAATAATTATGAGATGAGAAATGTTTGAGCTTTTTTACAAGCAGAGTAACTTTTTACAATTGATACTTAAAGCAAGTTAACCAAAGAATGTAGATACAAGTACATAATAAGTCTCCACTGTATTGTATCTGCTCTTTTTTTATCGTGACTGTTTGTACTTGGAGGCAGAGATAAATTCTGATTTTTACCTTCTCTACTGTAAGCCCACCTCAGCAGAGAGGTTTCCTGGTGGGAAGCCAGTGAGGGTTGTCATTATTAATGCTGCATTAGTGACTCCTACTGGTTGGTTAAGGCACTGCACAGTGATGTGTGAACTATGGGTAAGGGAAAGAATGAATCTCACAATATAGCCACTAGTAGGAACTCAGATTTATATATTTATTTTCATTGGCAGTTGAGAAAAAATAACTGGTGAATATCACTCATGCAGTATATAATATGCAGACTGTAAGATGTGGTTGACAGCTCCGAAAGCTAGAAAGTAGACCTTTGATCCTGGATTACTTTACTATAGACACTGTTTCTAAAGGTCAAAAATGAGTTTTTTTAAGCACAGAAAGTTTTAAAAACTACAGTCCAGAGAAAAGTGTCCAAAGTTTGATATCATTTCAAGCTTTATTTTTATTAATTAATGTAATTAAATTTAAGTTGGGCGTCCAGAAGATAACGTCTTATTGAATTGAGCAGTCTGTCTTTCTCTCACCTTGTCTTAGTGCTATAAAACCTGTCCAAACTCAAGTGAGAGCCACAACTATGAAAGCTGGTTAATGTTTGAGGTGTTGCGTAAAAAAAATAATTGTGGAGGAAACTTTTTATACCCAAATAAAAGTATGTGACTTCTGTGTTGTTTGCTTTTTGTATTATAAACCATATAGAAAATTTTGTTTCTCCCAATTCAGTTACTTTTGGTCTGATATGGCCCTGTAATGATCCGATACAATACTCTTTTAATCATTTGTGAATTTCAATGAAGAAAAAGCCTGCCTACAGAGAAGATCACTGTGTGCTATTTTAATATATTTAACGTTCTTTCATGGGTGGTTATTGCAGCTGAATAGCTCAACATATATAACAAAAAAAACACCTTTTCCCATTGACGTCTGTATTTCTCCTGAACCTCCCTTGTTGAGTAGCTCAAGTGAAACCTCTACTGTACCATGTGAATCAGTGATGCCACTAAATACTAAATGACGCATGTGTCAGAAGTGGTGCTGAATGAGCTGGGTGGTTGTTCTTGAGCATTCTCTCACCTTCAGCTGTAAGCAGATGAGGTGTTTTGATCTTTACTATTTGACTTGTGTTTGATGAATTGCTCCATCAAGATTATTAACACTTTTTTCTTCTGTCTCAGTTTAGTACACTCTAAATATACCCTTCTCGTTACCTTGGAAACTAAATGGCTCAAGTAACATTTAACTGTGTCTAAAATTACATGCTGCTTTTAGTCTAATATGAAATGATGCCATATCGTGAGTTTGAATGTCCCTCCCTTTTGACATCAGTGGAAACATGTTGACGGAATATGTCATGATGGATACTTTGCTTCTATTTTATTGCCACAAGATCTTTCCTGAATCACACTGTTAACCATGTATCAGGAGGTAAACGTGGGTAAGAAAATGATACTCACGACTTCATTTAACTCTGATGCGTGACAGTGTTCATATAAATAGAAAAGATAAAAGAAACATGGGAGAAATGCCCAATTTTTAAAGTTAGCATATTCTTTAATGAAATGTTTTTTGTGTTTCGTGGCCACCATAGTTTCTCCTTTTTGTGGTTGGAAGGGGAGGGTGAAGCAAGGAAGTTGTGATCTGCAAATACACCACTAGCTGCCACTAATTCCTGCACACTCGTCCTTTATTACAATCTTCTGAACATTAAGTCTACAGAGCATCTACGGATTATAGAAACATCATACTCATCACATGAACCCACAGCACTGTTTCGATTACACTGATAAATTTCCAATTTCATAGAAATATTTGATAAAATAATTACCTCATAAATGTTTATTGTTATTTATTAATGTTTATATACTCACACACACTTTAACTTTGTCTTCCTGAAGGTTTAAAAAAAATATTTTGTGTTCTCAGTATATAAAACACAACTGATGCTTGTTGCCAGATGCAGGAGAAGATAATAACAAAGGAACATCAGTGATTATAAAATACTGTTTTCTACGACTGCAAATTCTCAATCACCATGGAAACAGTAACAGTAAATATACTGTAAGACGATGCTATTATTGTAGACTTGGATCAATCCATAAATTGACTACCAGGTACATATCTAATAGCTACTGTAGTTGAATCACGTCTCTGAAACTGCAGGCAGACACACTGAGCATCATCTAACCTGCTGCTAACAAACCTGCCGGCAAAGGATGAATGTCTTCATTCGGTACAAGGCTGAACATACAAAACCCAATCTTTATGTCACTATATGAAGAATTTACAACAATGGTGCTTTATTGATGAATCCAGTTTACTAGTGTATGCTTAGTATGTCAGCGCAGGGTGTTCGGTTGAAGACTCATTCACAGTCTTACTAATTGCTTTATGAATGAGTGTAACCAGGGCTGGACATCTTAACAATTGTGATGTTGCCGTCGCATTTCATCGTCCAGCACAATTCTTTGAAAAATAAAAGTATATTTAGTCAAGTAAGAACAAATATAAGGTACTTAGACTTATATGAATATTTCAATATCATACTTAACACTCTTACTACATTTCAAAGAGAAATGTTACACTCTTTGCTCCTCTACATTGAACAGCTTTAGTCACTAATGTCTTACATACAAAACATGGGATGAACTACTGAATTTAACAAACATTTATAAACCTTGACACTGGCATAATATTAGCTGGACTCTAAAATCTGTACAATAAAGGCAGAACTCAGTGCACTTGTCAGTGTTGCTGATGCTATCCTTTCTCCATTATATGACAGTTTCAAAAGACCTCCAATAATTCTTGGTATTTGAGCACTGAATTCGATTAGTCTTGTGAAATCCAAGCATTGAGGTGTCCTTACTCATCCATGTGAAGGAGATGTGGACAACAGAAGCGTGGACACGACAGAATACAAGCCAGATTCAAAAAGGATTATAGAAAACAAGAAATTCCACCGTCAAATGTAGTTAAATACAAGGTAAACAAAATACCAATGAAATAGGGTGCTAACACTGAATCTCACTGGAATTTGGTGTTTTGTGTGTGACGATTTTTTGGTACACACCTGGTAATAGTACTGTATGTTAGTAGTCTAATCAGTTACTACTTTGATGGTTGATTAATTGTTTAAGTCACTGGTGGTACACGGAGAAATCTTTTTATGTTACGTATTTTTAAAAATTTAAATAAATGAATTGAAAAAACATATAATATTATTATTATTAATAATTTTAATGTTGATCAGATTAAACAGGCTATTTGAAAACATCAACGAGGAGATGGTAACAGGCATTTTTCACTATTTTATGACATTTTGTAGTTTAAGCGATTAAATCAAGAAAATGAGATCACTTGCACATGAACTTATAACCATAAACAAGTTTGATAGTCAATTCAAAATCCAAGTAATGAATCTAATATCAGACATTTTCTAAAGCTTCTCAAATATGAAAACTTCACAAATCAACTGTTTATCAGAAAGTATAACATCACTTCTGTGGATCTGAAATTGGAATATGTCATTATTTGGCATTTTACAAAGCAAGCAATTTATCAGAAAAATTTGATTAGAAATAGATTAGATTGGGCCAAATACTGAGAGATTTCCAGTCTTTTCCAGTCTAAAATCTGGGCGCATCTGTACGACAGAGTATTAGGGCCAGACTAAGAAAACAATTGAGAATAATGTAATAATATATACAAGAAAAAAAAGTTGTTTTAAATGAGAAAAAAGCTTCGATAGTTAATCACTATCTGAGGCGTGACCAGCCAACCCCCATGACAGCAGCCTCAGCCTGGAGCCCAGCAGCCCGCTTGTTTGTCTGCAGTCCCGTAGGCCAATACAGTCAACCAGGTAAGCTAACGTAATTGAATAATTTCGTCCGTTAAAGCCAGTTTTGCTGCTGAGCCCAAGCAGGCCAACCTGAACAGTCTCCTCCCCCATAAAATTACTTATGACTTTATTCTCATAATGTTACGACTTTATTCTTATAATATGACTTTATTCTCGTAATATTATGACTTTATTCTCATAATATTATGACTTTATTCTCATAAAAAATATATTTTTTTCTCACTTAGTATGGCCCTAATACGTACATCTGCACTGCTCTTCCGACTTTGGTGGAGAAAATTAAACCTTTTAGGGAATGTAAATGTATTCAGTCATTAGAAGTAATTAAACAGGTCTTCACATCTTGCCCTCATTAATTATTATTATAATAAAAGGTATTGCATAAGGTATATTGCTCTGTGATGAATATTTCATTATTTTTTACATTTTTTCAGATGTATGTGGACAGCGTGGGCTATTATAAAGCAAGACCTTGACTTGCATGGATGTAAAGAAATATCTGTATATAATGAGAAAAGGTTGGCAGTAAGCATTTTGATGATACACAATATAAATATTGATCTGACATGTAACATGTTAAAGGAGATTTAATCCATGGAGCACTATTTTACCCCAAAAACCTATTGACAGAATAATAATCTGCAATAATTCAATAATCCACAAACAAACATTATCGGCTTTTCTTTAAAGGTCCAGTGTGTAGGATTGAGTGCCTCCAGCGGTGTAGTTGCAGAGTGCAACTCCCTCACTTCACCCTCCCCTTCCTTTTGTCTGTTCTGGGCTACAGCATTTCAGTTCAATTCAATTTTATTTGTATAAATCATAGCAGAAGTTTTCCTCAGGACTCTTTTAAAAGCAGGTCTAGACTGTACTCTTTATAGAATTATTAACAGAGACCCAACAATTCCCACCATGAGCAAGCACTTGGTCAAAAGTGGCAAGGAAAACTTCCTTTAACAGGCAGAAACCTCGAGCAGCTCTAGGTGGGCGGCAGTCTGCTTCGTCCGACTGAAGTTAGAAAGACAGAGAGAGGGACAGATGAGGTAGACGGGGGAGGGACGGAGGGGGGGAGAGAGAAAGACAGACACAGAGATGCACAGCAGAAACAATAGCAACCGTAACAACTATGATAGTAGAAATATGACTAATAATAATAATGACAATAATGAAAACAGCCATAACGATGATGACTAATGAGAGGGAGAGGAAAAGAGGAGCTCAGTGCATCATGGGTATTCACCTGGCAGTCTAGGCCTACTGTAGAAACATGGCGGTTCAATATGGCAGCCTCCATGGAAGGTGACCAGCGGCATAAAAAAGGGTCATTCTAAGGTAACAAAAAACTCCAATTTGTTATTGTTTTCTTATTTTTAGGTGATTCAGGTACAAATATATTTATAAATAACCTTAACCTCTCTGCAAATAGATCCTCTAAATGTACCTTAAATCCTTGTAAACTGAATATCTAAAACAAGACATTTGAAGCCTTTTTTTCACTATTTTATGACATCTCACAGACTAAATGAATAATCAAAACAATAACATAACTATATCATATTTATTTATTTTGGTTATTTGATCATTGCACATAACCCTCTGAGGTTTCAGAACATTCTGTAAATGTACATTTTAAAAAAACAATTCATTTGTGGAAGTAAATTCTGCAAGAAGAGCAGCGGCAAACTGACAAAATAAAAAACCTGAAGCAGATGCAAAGACAAGACAAAAGATTTGACAACTGAAAAAAAAAGAAGAAAAATGTGCTGTAGGCTTAAGCATGAAGCAATAACTCAGTCTTTCCCTCCCC